TGTTGATGTTGTTTTTGTTATTGTTGTTGTTGTTGTTGTTGTTGTTGCTGCTGCTGTTTCTGCTGTTGTTGTTGTTGATGTTGTTTTTGTTATTGTTGTTGTTGTTGTTGTTGTTGTTGCTGCTGCTGTTTCTGCTGTTGTTGTTGTTGATGTTGTTTTTGTTATTGTTGTTGTTGTTGTTGTTGTTGTTGTTGTTGTTGCTGCTGCTGCTGTTACTGCAGTTGTTGTTGCTGATGTTGTTTTTGTTATTGTTGTTGTTGTTGTTGTTGTTGCTGCTGCTGCTGTTACTGCAGTTGTTGTTGCTGATGTTGTTGTTGTTGTTGTTGTTGTTGTTGTTGCTGCTGTTGGTGTTGTTGTTGTTAATAGGTTTGTTAAATGCAACCTTCCTCTGACAAAGGAGTGAAGAATGTCTCTCTTAGTGTTAATGCGTAGACTATGTTTATTATGTTTATCAACACAGGTGTATATGGAGGAAAGAACGTGTCAGAGAATAATATGTGAGGCAGTGTGGTGGAATCAGGCTCTCGTCAAAATAGTCAAAATAAAGCATTTTTCCGTAGGTTTGTGAATTTTTATCAAATTTGTGTTTTTTTGGCTCAACACCTTTCATGACCATTAAAGAATTCATTTCTGTCTGGATTTTTCTGAAAAACGTTGATTAAAGGCACAAAAAATGTAAATTTTCAGTTACCACGGACTCTTAAGCTAAGGAAATAACTAATCTTTGGCGGCCATTTTATCACTAATTTTACCTCTGAAAACAGGTGACCCCCACCTCCTTCATTGGCAAATATCTCGACTTGTATTCAAGATAAATGGATATTTTTTCATCCAAATAAAGACAAAGTGAACAAGCTTTAAGATGATACCAATACCTCTACATGCCCAAAAATTGACGAGAGCCTGATTCAACCACGCTGCCTCACATATGTATGTATGGATATGCGCACACCCGTGCATATTATATAGGTGTATATGTTCGTGTGTGTGTGTTGTGTAGGTGAGAGTGTGTATAAGCATAGTTTATGTGCGTGTATTCGTACATGTGTGTGTGTGTATGTGTGTGTGTGTCTGTACATCCGTGTCTGTAGGTGTTTGTACGTGTGTGTGTGTGTATGTGTGTGTGTGTGTGTGTATGTGTGTGTATGTGTGTGTATGTATGTGTGTGTGTGTGTGTGTGTGTGTGTGTGTGTGTGTGTGTGTACGAGGTGAAACACCAGACCCATGTGCCAGGATCTGGACAATAAAGATGTATCTTATCTTATCTCAACTAATCGTGTCTTTCCTTATCTTGTCTTATCTCGTCTTATCTTGTCTTATCTCGTCTTATCTTGTCTTATCTTGCGTACCTTGTCTTATCTGATCTTATCTATCTTATCGTATCTTATCATACCTTATCTTGGAGCATTTTATCTGATCGTATCTAATCTTATCTGTTTCATTTTGTTTTGTTATGTCTTTTCTCGATTTATATTATCTTATCTTACCTTATCTTGTCTTGTATTGTCTCATCTTACCTTATCGTGTCTTGGATCATATTATCTTGCCTTATCTTGCCCTGTATTGTTTTATCTTATCTTATCTTGTATTATCCTATATAACCTTATTGTATCATAGCTTATCTTGTAGTATCTTATCTTGTCTTGTCTTGTCTTGTCTTATCGTATCTTATCTTACCTTATCGTGTATCATCTTATCTTATCTTATCCTATCTTATCTTCTCATGTCTTATTTAGATCTAGATTCTGGGTTTTGTTGTTGTTGTTGTTGGGG